TTCTTTTCTTTCTTTTTTTTTGTGGGAAGCTGTAGGGAGGTGGTTGCCATTTATTTTGACTACACTTTTTCTCCTGTTTAAGGAAAGCAAGGGAGTTAGTGTAATATTTTGTACTTTTTTCTTTTATTTGTTAGATTAGGTAGATTGCTTTTGGGAGTTAGTATGTTCTGTACAGTATGTCTTCAGAAAGACATACTGTAGTTCCCCTTCAAGGAAACTCACGCTGCATCAGACGTAGCGACACTATGGGAGCACTTCTGCATTATTGCGTCTTAAAAGCATGTGTGAAATCAGTCCAATAGAACGGCGGGATGTCATCCCATAACATATGATGTCATATCCAGGAAGTTCTATAAATAGCACCCAGACCAAATAATGTCAACTTTAGGGCTTTAGATGGAGCAGACGCTTGCGAGCTATCTGTCCCCTGATACGGCATCGTCCCTTAAGGCCCCAACATTGCTCATCAAGCCATGTAAAGCAACTTTGGCCTTGGTGAGTAAAGCTTATACGGGACAGGTCAAGCTGGTGCATGCCTGAACAGGATGTAAATCTTGCAAGCACACCAGGCTGACCTGCTTTGAGACCTAGATGAAGGCGAGGGAGTGGGCCCAGATGCAATTCAAGAGCAGTGCTGGGCCACAGATTTGTCAGCTGTCGATTGTAGCCTCACTGAAGTATATTATTTCCACTATCGTGCAGAAATAACCAGCTGGACCCAGTTAACTGTCGGCCGGTACAGTGCAGAGTTTCTGCAGGATCGGTTCTCTGCAGGGTTATCTTATTAACGTCTCTTAAGAGAGTGGGAGACCTTTAGCCCTGTCGGCTGCCCCATCACGCTTAGAGTTTGCACCTGGTATGGTGAGATCCTTTCTACAGCCTAGTCCGCAGTATGTTCCTAAGGTCCTCACTAATGTGACACTACAAGGAAAAACTAAATCTGTTTTGCCCTGTTAAATCATTGGATGCTTACACTGACAGAGCTGCCCCGTGACGTGAAACTGATCAATTGTTTGTGTGCTTTGGGTCACTTAGGCCTCGGCATCCAAGCAGACATTGAGCAAATGGATCGAGGCTATCTCTTGCATATGAAGCATCTGGACAGCGTCACCTATGGCTGTCAGAGATCATTCAGTTAGGAGTATTACAGCTTCAAAAGTGTTATTGTCAGTATTCTTCCTACAAGATGGGAAAAAGACGTTGACATTGTTTGGTTCGGGCGCTATTTATAGAGCTTCCTGGTCGTCTGTTACGTGATGACGTCCCATCATGCCATTGGACTGATTTCACATGTGCTTCAAGACACAATCATGCAGAAGCGTTCCCATTGCATCACTGCTTCCAATGCAACGTCTTGTTGCCTTTTCAGGGAACTATTTACTAGCGGTGAGCCATTTAAACTAATGTCTTTTTAAATGCAGTTCACAGGACCAATTCCCTGTGCCAAAGTGATCTTATTTGATGTACCTCACAGAAATATATGGACATATGTAGAGTACCTCAGTTTTCTTTTGAATATCTCAAACCATTATGAATGTTTAGAAGATTCTTTACTTTGGGATTAGGATTTCATTAATAACTATTGCAAAAATGATGGCATAGGCACTAGTAATGACTCCAGTGTTACTACATCCTTCTAAAGGAATTACTACTCATCTGGAGCAGTATTCTAAAGTGAAGACCATGGTAAGCCAGTAATGGCTCTAGTATTACCATATTACCTTCAGAAGGAATTGCCGGATTGAAGAGAGAGTGGGTGAGAGCCTGTGAAGGGCAATAAAAGGGTGCAGAGCTTGTGTGTGTGAGACGCAAACCCTGAGGCACTCTGGAGAATGACTACACAACGGGGGAAATTGAGCCTCGTTTGAGAAGTTGAGGATGCACTGCTCTTCAGATGTGTGTTTGTATGGCAACAGAAAGGACGTGACACTGAACTGAAGTTTGGTTTCATGTCAGCCTTAGTAACTCCACACTAGACTAACTGGATTAGTATGGTGCAGTAGGGCTGGGTATTGCGTTCTATGCTTTTTAGGCACCGACCGAATTGCCTCGATACCATCGAGTATCGGAAAATGTATTTTCGTTTTGGTACCAAATTTCGATACCTAAGGGGCTATATTCAAGGAAAAACACTAGGTGTGTTCGACGTGATGTGGCGCTGCACAGATCGGTAGGTGTTTGACATCAAAGTACCGTGATAGCGATTCGAGAGCTTACGGAGCATCTGCTCTCTAGAGCTCTTGCGGTACTATGAGGTGGGGACAAGTCACACATGGTCAAGTCCAAGCAAGTCTCAAGTCTTAACCATCAAGTCTCGAGCCAAGTCACAGTTTAGACAAATCAAGCAAGTCAAGTCAAGGGTTCACCCTAAGCAAGTCAAGTTGAGTCCTGATAAGTTTCCAGTCAAGTCTCAGTTCTAAAAAATGTTAGAATTTTTCGCTACGTATTTATTTTTGCACAGAAAAGATGAACTTATATACATATTATATATCTCATTCACATTGCTATATATTAATTATATGCATATCTGTGCTACATATCTGAAAATAAAATTGTGTTGCTTACACAAAATGTTTAAAATGAAGAAATCCAGTCTAAACCGTCTAATCCAATCTGTCTAATTCAGTTTAACTGAATCTGTCTAAAATGTGTTGCATTTACAGAAAACAAGGTTTGCCGAAATGTTGGCACCAAGTTGTGAACGACGGGGCCACATAATAATCAAAAGTAATTATGTTGACTCGAGTCCCCCACCTCATCTATGATGTCATACACTGTAATTCTGAGATGATAGCATGTGACATTCTACTCGGAGCTACCCATGTACTTTGACTCAGAGGTAGCGCCTAAATGAACCTTGTGGTGGTCAGGTGGTACAGCAGTCACATGGTCCAAGTTGTAGCTCTCAGAACGTTCTGAGCTTATAAATTGTAATTACGAGTTCTGGAGCATGTGAAGGCTTTGGCGTTGATAGTGTTGCCATAGAAACACAAAATTCAGCTCCGAGTAGAATGTCATGTGTTATCATCTCAGAATTACAGTAATTACCACATGACGGGAAGACAGAATATATTATTTGTAGCCTTTTATATCAAGCTAAACGCTACACCTGCTTAGAATTTCTCATGTAAACACCCTGTATTAATATGAAAATAGGCAGAATCTCATGAAAATCACATACAAATCATATACTGTCATGATCGTGTGTTTATTAGGTTCATGTTTCATCCGTAGAAATGTTTTTCTGGGTTTCTTATGTACAGAACTGAACGCGGAAGTGTAATGGATGTTCTCATAGGAGACAGGGTTATCAACGCGTAATATGATGACATATGAGCAGCGACTGAGCTTCCTTGGAGTCAGAACAGTGATCGCGGAAGAGAAAACACAGACAGACAGCGCTGGAAACAGTTAATGCTCATCAGTAGATCAGGGGGAAATTAATAGAAATAATGATTCTAAGCTATGCGTTTTAAAACGAAAACACTCTAGTGTAAACATAGCCTAAAAGATGTGGAAACTAAAAACTATTTGAACTTTATTAAAACTATTTGCATTGATTTACTGTGTTGGTTACATTTTGTTCCTTTGTGCACTGCACGATCTCAGGAGATCAGTCTTAGAGTCTAAAAACGTCAAACAAGCTGAAAAAATAAAAGTGTTTTTTTTTAGATAATGTGTAATGTAATCTTGTTAAAACAGATTTCATAAAATTGGTATCGAAAAAAGTATCGTTCAGGAACCGGTATCGAAGTCAAGGTATCGGTATCTGTATTGAAAATCTTTGAATGATACCCAGCCCTATGGTGAAGTGACTCTTGATTGGCTTCATTTTCACACAGTTCTGTTTTCTACTGCAATCCATGTAAATAACTCAATTATGCATAAAATGTTTAATGGATCATGCCGACATTTTATATTACATAATGTAAAATTCAGTGCATAATTCACCCACTTGTAATGTTTTGGAGGAAGAGACGGCAGATGGAGAAGTGGATCTAGTTGCAGGATGTTTAATGAAAACAAAAAAACAAACAAGCTATGGGTGCAGTCAAATGAGTGACTATGGCAACTAATGAGGGTAACTATGGAGACAAACAAGGCACACAGCAGACAGGGGCAGAACACACACAGGGAACACGTAACACCACTCAATGTACAGGAAACAAATTTGTCCTGTACACTGAAAAAAATAATATGCTAGATTTACTTAAAAATAAAGTGCATAATTTTTACATCCCTCTTCTTAAGTAAATTTCGCATGGAAATTTAAGCAGTGTTGCCTAAAAATCTTTAGTTGGCAATGCTTAAATGTTTGAGTATCCCAGTCAACGGTTTTGCTCAAATTTTTTAGCTGGTGTAACACAATATTTTAAGTAGTTTATACTAATAAATTTAAGTTATTTCTACAATAATAGTCTTGTTCAGCCCATTATAAATTTTAAGCTCATTTAGATTGATAATTTTAAGTTTTTGTGGAAGACACAACAGACAACTGGTAAATATTAAATGACTTCTTTATTTTCTTCTTCTTTTTTGTTTTTTACAAATGCAACTTAAACATCTCTTAAAACATTTTCTGCTCTACAATTTGCAGATGTAGAAACATGTCTGACTTGTTCTAAAATTTAGTTGAATGTTAGTATGTTTGAAATAGTGCACAGTGTGTGTGTACCTGGTATTCCCTACATCATGAGGACCAAATGTCCCAACAAGGATAGTAATACTAGTAATTTTTGATTTTTGAATTTTTTGGTCCCCATGAGGAAAACAGCTTATAAATCATACTGAAATGAAGTTTTTTTTTAATATGTAAAAATGCTGAAAGTTTTCTGTGACAGGTAGGTTTAGGGGACAGAATATACAATTTGTGCAGTATAAAAACCATTATGCCTATAGGAAGTCCCCATAAAACATGGAAACTTGTGTGTGTGTGTGTGTGTGTGTTGTTAAGGTGCATGCTGTGTTCTACCATTACACAGGATTTTGACTAAAAATACAGATTACAGAACAACGGTAAACAATCTGTAACCAATAACAGTAAGCATCAACATTCTTTTTTTGATATGTGTGGTGTTTTATGTTTGTGTGTGTGGTATAGAGTTGAGTATGTTGTTTCCACAATGTTTGTGGTGTTGTATGCTTGTGTGTTTGAGTGCAGTGTAGTGCTGAGTAATGTGTGGTGTTGTATGCTTGTTGACTTGCATGTGTGAGTTGTGCAATGTTCTGTGGCATTAAAATTTTGCAGAATTTGCATTATTAAGACACTTAACAAGTATTAAAAAAATAATAATTCAACATCTTGTTATTTAAAGTTACCCCTTATTTACACTGCACATGTCAGCGGCGCGTTATGGCTCAGACGAGGTTTTGTTCCATACTCCACGTGGTGCCAGCTCACGCCAGGAGCATTTCAGAAGCGAAGCGACAGGATTCGCGAGACCATGTGATTTGCCTGTCCGATGTTGTTTGGTTGCTCATTGTCCTTGTAAAAAGGATTTGTGATGTCATATAACACCATGTGCCGCTTCTGAAACGTGCCGTGGCACAGCTTGTTTAACACAAGCATTGACTAGAGTGGCCGTGATCAGCTCCGGTGGATGCGTTGCAGACGTGTGCAGTGTAAATCAGGGGTTAGAAGTGTTGCAATCAAGTCAAGCAGGATTTTCTGAAAAAAATAAATCAAATGTATACCTCAGTGGCTTGGGGTAACTCAGTTTTACAGAATACATCAGGCCAAGAAGGGCAACACATGCATTGCAACACTGGACAATCCTGACAGAACCTCAACACCTTTCAAGAAAGAAATGCCATCTGGAGAGCCCCCTTGTAGGGTCTTCTTGGGCTATGTCCCGATCAGTGTCCGATAACACAAAACAATAAAATACTAAAATGCATATTGTGCTTTTTTGGTTGTTTGTTCATTAAGGGGGTAAAAACGCAAAAAGACAACAAAATATGTCAGGCTCAACTTTAAAACATGTATAAAACTCACTGATGGAGACATCCAAGCAGTCATTAATCTAAATCATTCAACCATTTTCTGTTTTGTGTTGATTAACATTAATATACTTACAGACATTTAGTTTTCTGTTTACATTCACTTAGGACGTAAACGACTGTTTATGTAAACCTGTCCTTGTGTGTATTCGACAGTTTAAGAGCGTTTAGCCACGAAAATCTTAGTTCAGCATTCACGCTGTGCGACAGACTTTCTGTGCGTGTGCGCAGAAACACTGTCAGGACAGCACGTGAGTAAAATCATTTGAAGGTTAAAACTGGAATGGCTATAAAACGCTTGTCTACCGATATATACGCCCAGAACTACCGCTACAATGCTAACATATGATGTGTATGTATGTCGTGTCATGCAGTATGTTGTAACGAATGCACCAGAACTGCCAAACTGTGGAGAAATTTTATTTGTTCACGATCTAATATCACACCATGTGTTTGGGGTGTGTCAGACGGCGAAATATAACTACTGTGGACCATCCTTTTTTTGCACAGACCAAACAATCTGCCACTCACCCTTATTTAACATTCATCTCATAAAAGTAACTGTACAATGTGTATTTTGGTCTCACAAAAGACTCCGGAGTGCACGCACATGTTTAACAGTGCTCATTCGATATCTAGTAAATTGCCAAATAAAAAAATCAGTAACTTGCAGTGGTGGAAAGAGTACTGAAAAAATATACTCAAGTAAAAGTACCATTACCTTCCAAAAAATGTAGTGTGAGTAGAGTAAAAGTACTTTTCCAAAAAACTACTTGAGTAAGAGTAAAAGAGTAGCCTATTTAAAAGTACTCATGAGTATTGAGTAGTGAGTACTGAGCTGTGGATTCTACCCCCTCATAATAAAC